TCTTCAGCTCAAGGCGAGTGCTCTGCCACTTGAGCCTCAGCGCCACTTCTGGTTTTCTGAGTGGTTTATTGGAGATAAGAGTCTCATGGACTTTCCTGCCCAGGCTGGCTTTGAACCATGATCCTCATATCTCAGCCTCCTGAGTAGCTAGGATTACAGGCCTGAGCCACCAACGACTAGCTCTTAATATATTCTTTATCAATTCCATGTAAAAATTCTTCTTTAGGACCTTGAAATAAAGCTTGGTAAAGCCCAATGTTTATATAATTTTTAAAGTATGAATATACAGAGGTAAATAATTTCTAAATCAATAATTGGAATGAAAAGTCAAACTACAGTAGTTTATCATGTCTCAAAAGATGATTGGTATTTGTATTTTATGTACAAATTACATTTTCTCCCTTACAGTGTATCATTGTCAATTATTGGAATGCCTCATGAAATATAAACAAGAAGTCTGGAAAGTAAGTTTTGAGTCATATTCAACCCCAAATTATTAACTGATGCTTTGCAGGCAGAGGTTCTTACCTCTGAGCCATGCCTCCAGCCCTGTGTTCTTTTTGTTGTTGTTGTTATTATTATTCTTTTTATTATTATTAGTCTTGGTCCTGGGGTTTGAACTCAGGGCCTGAGCATTGTTCTTAAGCTAGTATTCTACCATTTGAACCACAGCTCTACTTCTGTTGTGTGTGTGTGTGTTTGTGTGTGTGTGTGTGTGTGTGTGTATGTGTGTGTGTGTGTGTGTATGTGGTGCTGGGGGTTGAACTAAGAGCCTTACATTTGTGAGCTCTATCACTTGAACCATACCTCCAGGTTCTTTTGCTGTTATGTTTTTGGATACCCTCCTTTTTCTAAGGCCAGCCCTGGACTGCTGTCCTCCTATCTCTGTGTAATGAGGACACTCATTTAGTACAGGTGTGTGACACCACACCTGGTTATATTTGAATTTTAATAAAGGTCTACTTATTGTGGGTTTCCTCTCAATTACTGTGTTTGGGCTAATAAAGTGCTCTTTGGAAACTTGGTTTTGAATATATAAATTAATTACCTATTGTAATCTATCAAAAAAAGAAAGAAATTTAAAATAGTGTTTGATATTCTTGTGTACAAGGCAATTAAAGATGTTTTCCAAGCAGTATATAAGTGGAAATCAGGATTATGCAGCTATTAGGTAAATTTTGAAGACATAGCTTGCTTTTTTGTGATTGAATATGTTGACATAGAATAAAATGTCCAGAAACAACATTATTCACAGATTCAAAATTGCTTTATTTCAAACAACTTAGATCAATATGAAGATGATAAGCTTGGAAAACTAAAAAAAAAAAGTGACTCTCATAATAATGAAGACAATGATGATGAAGTTTCATATGAAGGTTTGAATAAAACTATAAAGACATGTAAACATAAAATTTAAAAATTAATGCAGTAATTTATAATAGAAGATTACAATTTGTATGTATAATTCATCAAGTTACAGATTATTGTAAGCTTATTTATCTGCATCTCTAAAATGCATTCATGTTGCATTAAAATTTAGTTTTACTTTCTTACTAGGACCACCTTCGACTTGACTTTATATTTGGACATAGAGGATTTTATTTTTCTTTTCCATCTAGAAGTAAACATCTTGGGAGTAGAGATCACATCTGAGTACAACTTTGATAAAAATCATTACATCATATTCTCGCTTTGCTCCTTTTGCAGTAGATCATCTGTAGGATTTATACAGTTGTACACAACTGTGGTTTTATTGGTACAAAACCCCTATTGGCTTAGTTGGGACTTTTTTTTCTCATGGGCTTCCCATAATATACAAAGTAGCAAGTATATAGTCTCATATATAGAGACATTATGCTGAATCTAATCAAAACCATTTTGGTTTCAGTGGGTTCTTCCAGGAGAGAAGGCGTTCCTGCCCATGTTAATCTTTCTGCATCCTCTATGCTAATGATTGCAATGCAGTACACATCTAATCCAGGTAAGTGGAAATCTGAGTATTTTAGCTAATTCCAAAATCAATCATCAGGCCAAACATAAAACAAATAAGCAAAATGTTTCCGTGTGAAAATTTCTCTTCTCGGTGGAATAGACAATGGGAGTTGTTTAGAAAATATACTTTTGAATTAGATTTCCTTGCCTATTATAGTGATCTTGTGTGCTAGTAATATTTTTAGAATGTTTCAGGATAAATTTTAGAACACTAAAGGGAAATTGATTGGTTATAACTATGTAGAAATAATTAAATTAGAAATATAAAAATAATTTATTGTACTAACATAACTACTATTAATAATGTGGCAAATTTCTTCCTCTAATGTCACAGAAATGTCACGAACATCCTTTGACTGCATTTCTGATTATTTCCATAGAATAAATTAATGAAAGAGATTCCTGGTTTAAAGTGGTTAAAAAATGTCAATATTCTCACTAGTTGTATATGATGTCTTATTGTGATCTGTCATTTATTATTACCATAAAATTTGTATAGAGTTAAATAGATGAAAGATAATAAGCCATTTTGGTTTTTGTGTCACTATTTTGGACAGGTTTTTCCATGATTTATTGTCTGATTTCTATTTAATAATGTAACTGCATTTAAGCTTTGGGGACATGACCTAAAAAGCTTTTGTTCAAGTCAAAGGCAAAGCTATGAATTCTGTTTTTATTTTCGTTGATGTTTATTTGGAAAGTGAGCAAATTTCATGAAACTTTTTAGCCTTCTACCCAAGTAGAATAATAATGAAGTTTTACTCAGAGTGAGAAAAAAATTGTCTCTTCAGGTCAAATCTTAATGCATTTTACTCTGGAGTGTTGTCCTTATGTCTGTCTCTCTTCTTTTTCTACTTCTCATTCTTTTTCTCTCTCTTTCTCTTAATCTCTGTCTTTCTCTTAATCTCTCTCTCTCCCTCTCTCACTCACGGTCTCTCTCTCTCTCTCTTTCTCTCTTTCTTTCTTTCCTTTCTTTTGGCTTGCCATGTTTCCCAACTGGCCTACAACTCCTGAAGTCAAAGGATTCTTCCTCTTCAGCCTTCTGAGTTACTGGGACCAAGGCATGCAAAACCACGCTGGCTTTTATACTTTATTTTGGTCTGTTTGTGCTACCATAACAAACACAATATAATCCACGTGGTTCAAAAACAGCAATAATTTATATCTCACAGTTCTAGAGCTAGGAGCTCCATGATCAAAGGGATGGCAGATTCAGTATCCAGTGATGTTTGTTCTGTTTCTTCTCATGCTGGAAAGGGGAAAGGAGTCCTCTGGGGCTTGTTTTATAAGGGTACTAATCCTATTCATAAGGGCTCTGACTTCATGAGTTGATTACCTTCTAAAGGCCTTACCTGAACACCATGATATTGATTATTAAAAGCTAGCATGATTTTTTGGGAGGGGGTAAAATTATTCAATAGGTTGCATTCTGTCCCCCAAATTTCACATCCTTTTCACATCTGAAATACATTCATTCAATTCTGAAAACCTTACATTAATTCATTCTGAAGATGAGTTTCTAGACCCTATTTCTAAACCTCAGGAGTCCTGAGTTAGGTCTAAGCACTTGTCCCCATCTGCCAAATAAAGAGTTATGGTGAAGGACAGAGAAAGGAGATTTATTATATGGCAGCCATGGGAAGGCAGCACTTCAGTATATCTTCAGCATCTTCAAGGTACAGACATTAGCTTCAGGTTAAATAGGAACAACGGGGACAGTTGTGAAAAGGTATAGTTAAAACAGTTCCCCAAACACAGATATGACCTGGTTGACGGTTGGTTTAGTTTGTTCTTGGAAAAATTCTGGAGAAGTTGTTATTGTCTTTACCATTGCAATGGAACAGGAACAAGGTGCCTGTCAGACAGTCTCAGGAGCTTTTGGTTGTTTTTATTAAGATGCTAAAATGGCGTTTCTTGTTTGAGGGGCAGTTTGTCTTTTATCACAAGGTACTTCCCAGAGACTTATTCTTCCTGGAGCTGAAGGTTGTGGTAAAATTATGGAGACAAGGAACACCTCAGATCAAAGGGCCCAGATGCAAAGTGAAGGGGAGTTTTGAGTGTTCAGCTCTTAGTTAATTTATAAGCCCCAGCAAACCCATCTTTTAGGTTACCTCTTACAATCCCAGTTTTTGAACTTCTCTAAAGAATATTCTCCAAATAATCTGATTTCATCACTCACAAATTCTGCCTTCTACCAAACATTAGGACATGAACATAATTCTCCAAGTTATCTGCCATTTTATAACAAGATGGGCCAACCCCCAGTTTCCAATAACATACTCCTCTTTTCTGACACCTCTGCTTTTATTGTTCATTTTTCCACTGTTCAAGATCTCTTATGCAATCTTTAAGAAGAGTAGGATTTTTCTCTACAGTTCTTTTGGTTGACCCAGTGGGAAAGGATGAATTTGTCAAGGAGGTAGAGAGCTTGTGTCTGTCTAACAAGAGCCTTAAACTACAAACACATTTGTGGTTTGCTTAACAGGAAGTCTTAAAGATATGTCAACTCTATCGGGGGACTGAGATAGTATCTTTGTACTTCCCTTGGACTTACCCTCATGTTTGTACAATGGCTGTCACAGTGGACATAATTATATCTCCGTACTACCACATCCCAAACCAGAATCAGTCAGAGTCATTACAGAAAGTTCTGCTGGTACACTTCTTTTCCTTTTCTTCAGAGAGAAAAAAAAATGTTTCAAAATCTCTCAAAGAGATTCTCTCTTGTGTTTACTGGCCAGTACTGAGTCCCACTCCTCATTACAAGGTGGGGCAGAAGCGTGTGGGGGAAGTCTGGGGAAGTCTGTATATGGCAGATGTCTAGGAAGAATGGGTATTGATAGCAGTTAGGTAGCGAGAGTGCTAAAAGGTGATCATGTCATGTCAGGAAGCCAGGAAAAGAGACTGATTTAAAAATGGACAGTGGTCAGCATATTAAACACTGTCAAGTAAAATGCAAACTGAAAAATTAGTTGAATGTCCCAGTCATTCACTGGTGGTCACTGATGACTAAAGTGAGGCCAATTTCAATGTAATGAAAGAGCTGAAAGTTTCAAGTAGATATGTATTTAATTAAGACGACAGAATCTTCCTTCCATATATGAATGTAGGCAAATCAAGGAAGCTTTGATTTTGTGTGGCTTAAAAAAATTCCTGTATAAGATGGAGTTGATAATCAACTGATAAAATCCCCACTATAACCCTATCAGTCTGTCACTGCTTACTTGTTCAGCTTTAGGAAAGAAGAGAAGCTAAGCCTCGGTTTAATAATTGCAACATGGCTTTGAGATAATGCAAATCAAGCTCTTAGCACAATACTTGGCACATGATGGTACCTAATAAATATGAGCTTTTATTATGATACCACTTGGCTAAGTTTTTTTCCCCTATGTGGTTCTTGCTTGTGTTGATGCAGTTTAAATTATGGAGGTATGATTACTAGAAACTTTTTTTAATATATTCTTTTTTTTTTTTTTGGTCATGGGGCTTGAACTCTGGGCCTGGGCGCAGTCCCTCAACTCTTCAGCTCAAGGCGAGTGCTCTGCCACTTGAGCCTCAGCGCCACTTCTGGTTTTCTGAGTGGTTTATTGGAGATAAGAGTCTCATGGACTTTCCTGCCCAGGCTGGCTTTGAACCATGATCCTCATATCTCAGCCTCCTGAGTAGCTAGGATTACAGGCCTGAGCCACCAACGACTAGCTCTTAATATATTCTTTATCAATTCCATGTAAAAATTCTTCTTTAGGACCTTGAAATAAAGCTTGGTAAAGCCCAATGTTTATATAATTTTTAAAGTATGAATATACAGAGGTAAATAATTTCTAAATCAATAATTGGAATGAAAAGTCAAACTACAGTAGTTTATCATGTCTCAAAAGATGATTGGTATTTGTATTTTATGTACAAATTACATTTTCTCCCTTACAGTGTATCATTGTCAATTATTGGAATGCCTCATGAAATATAAACAAGAAGTCTGGAAAGTAAGTTTTGAGTCATATTCAACCCCAAATTATTAACTGATGCTTTGCAGGCAGAGGTTCTTACCTCTGAGCCATGCCTCCAGCCCTGTGTTCTTTTTGTTGTTGTTGTTATTATTATTCTTTTTATTATTATTAGTCTTGGTCCTGGGGTTTGAACTCAGGGCCTGAGCATTGTTCTTAAGCTAGTATTCTACCATTTGAACCACAGCTCTACTTCTGTTGTGTGTGTGTGTGTTTGTGTGTGTGTGTGTGTGTGTGGTTTTTTTTTTTTTGCTGGTTAATTGGAGAGAAGAGTCTCACATACTTTCCTGCTTAGACTGGCTTTGAACTGAGATCCTCCTGAGATCTCAGCCTCCTACAGATGTGAGCTTGGCTGGTGCTTGGCTCTTTTTGTTATTTTTGAGAATAAGGACTCATGCATTGAGGCCATATGCCTATTTTAGGCTTCCTATTTATAACTTGAATAAAAGCTGTGTGCCACCAAATTCAGCTCTCTATTCAGAACGGGGTCTGTGAACTTTTCTGCCTAAATGCCCTCACACTTTGGTCTTCTCAATCTTAGTTTCTTAAGTAGCTAGGAATATAAACATGAGCTGTCAGGACCCAGCAGGGAAATATTGTTTGTTTTGTTTAAAAAACAGTAATTAGCACGGTTGTCTACGCTATTCCAAAAACTTGTCTAATATTAATCTTTTTTTTCTTTTGTGGTACTCGAGATTGGATGCAGGACCTCACACTTGGTAGGCAAACAAGCCTCTACCACTTTGAGCTGTGCCTCCAACCCTACTATGAATCTGATTAGAGAAGAATTTGATAAAAGATAGTGTACTTTTGAACTCTCCCTTTGCAATAGGACCCATAAACAAATAATAACAATAATGTTTTAATGTGATCTAGTCTGTGAGGCTTACCTGCATGATGAGATTCTGGGAAATTACCCAACTCAGTGTCTCCGTTAGAATTTTCACTGCTTTGGTAGTATTGAAAGACTTTATCTTTATTTGTATTTGATGATGCTTAAATCCAAACATGCTTCCTATTTCCTTCAGGATCTTTTGTATGTGATTGCCTATGGGCCTTCGCAAGTGAAACCTCCAGCTGTGCAAATGCTTTTCCACTACTGGCCCAATTTAAAACCTCCTGGTGCAATAAGCGAGTACAGGGGATTACAGTACACAGGTAAGGAGACAAGAGCACTGTGCTATCCTGTCTTTCTCTGGTGCCACTTGTGCCTCACCCATCTTGAAAAGAAAATCTTGCTAGGCTTTGTTTACTGTGCTTTTAGGCATTGCCATAAATCTTTCTGAAACTAGATAGTTTAAAATAAATTAATTGGTTGGGTATTGAGGTTTTAGCTATACTTGGGAGGCTAAGAGTAGTACTTGAGACCAAGAATTTGGGCCAGCTGGGGTAACAAAATGAGAGACCTCCCCTCATTTCTTAAAGAAACTGATTAACCGAAACAAATTTTGCAAGTATTTTTTGGCATGATAGATTATTGCCTAGATGAATCTCAGTCTCATTTGGATTAAGACTTAGCTATTATTAATCACTAAAGCACGAGTGATAAGAGTAATGCTGTAGATTTAGTAATGCTGTAGATTTGCTGTTTAATTAGCAATAACCCCCCAGGTAGCTAATTCTGTTCTGGTAAAACAAAAGCTTGTCAGTATCATCAATATTAATCCAGATAACTTAGCCTCTTTGGAAGAGTCAACAATTGATGAGACTTGGTGTAACTAATCATGAGAAGTGAACATTGACTTTAACTATGACAGAGCTGGTGAGGCATGCATGCCTGTGATTCAGCACTCATGAGGCTGAGATAAAAGGATCACACGTTCAAGGGCAGTATAAGGAAAAATATACCCTGGCTGATGAAGTTTCTAAATAGTCTTGTCTGCCTCCAGCTCTTTAATTGTATGGATAGTTTTCTGAAAATGAGAAGGTAGGTATTTTTTAAAAGTCATCCTTTACTCAGGTTATTATGAGTTGTTTTGAAAATGAACTGATTATTGGCATTTCTCACTGTTATAAAAGTGATTTGAGGTAGTGTTTAAGGGGATTTAACTTATTTCAGTGATCAGATTTATATTCCTTTTTTTTTGGGTGGGGGTCCGGTTGTGGGGCCTGAACTCTGGCCCTGGGAGCTGTCTCTTAGCTCTTCAGCTCAAGGGTAGCGCTCTACCACTTGAGCCACAGTGCCACTTCCAGCTTTTTTCTTTTCTTTTTGCTTATGTGGTGCTGAGGAATCGAACCCAGGTCCTCATGCATGCATGGCAAGCACTCTAAGCACTCTACCACTGAGCCACCTTCTCAGCCCCAGATTTATATTCCTAATGAAAGATTTAAAAACCAAATGTTAGAGATATTAATAACTATTGTCTGGGCTTTGATAGCCCTTGGTAGGCTTTTTCTACCTAGGATAATAAGAGGGGTCAATAATAGTAATAAAACATGAAGGTAAATAGTAAGCACATTTCTTCCTCTTCCTCTTCCTCTTCTTCTTCTTCTTCTTCTTCGTCGTCGTCGTCGTCGTCGTTGTCGTCGTCGTTGTCGTCGTCGTCGTCTTCTTCTTCGTCTTCTTCTTCTTCTTCTTCTGCTTGCTCCTCCTCCTCCTCCTCCTCCTTTTTTTGGTCTTGGGGCCTGAACACTGGGCTTGAGCACTGTCCCTCAGCTCTTCATTTCATGGCTAGTGCTTTTACCACTTGAGCCACAGCATCACTTCCAGCTTTCTTTGCTTATGTGGTACTGAGGAATAGAACCCAGGGCCTCATGCATGCAAGGCAAGCAATCTACCACTGGGACTGAGTCACCTTCCCAGCCCATAAGCACATTTCTTAAAGTTGGAAACGGTTATTGTTGGTGTTTTATGTTACTAATAATAGAAAATGTTTCAGTACTGCCAAGTGAATAATTTGAATGTAAAATCCCCCCAAATGTTGGATATATCTATAGAACAAAATATGAAATCATTGAAGGCTTTGGTAATAATAATTTCTAATTAGGTTTCTCAAGTAAGCATTCATATGATGATGCTTGCTTGAATGGACAATAAATGAAATGAAAATTTTTAATTGGATAAATATTTGATGATGTTCCTGGCAGTGTACTTTTTGTTGATGATACAGGAACTAACACAAAAGTGGGAGTTTAATACAATCTAGATATGAAAATTAATTGTATTCAAATACTTATAGTGTGTCTACTAGGCATTATTCTGGACACTGATAGGCGGAACATTGAATAAAACAAACTAAAATTAATATAATGGAGCTTACATTCTAGTTGTGGAGGAAACACTCAGAAACTCTCACCAATAGTGGTAGTAAGTTCTAAGGTAGAGCAAATACAGAGCTGTGGAAACACACAGAAGGGTCCCCAACTTTACTTTGATAGTAGGAAAAATTTGAAAAGGGAGATTTGTTAAGGCGTGTTCTTGAATAAGTGAATCTTGAACTGATACTTAAAGTTTTGACATCTACATACTGGATGACAGATGGGAAGGAACCATAAATGGACAAAATACAAGTCTGAGGTATAAAGAACTACAAGGAGACAAAAGACAGCTTAATAGTATTTAAGAACTAGAAAATCTAAATGCGGCAAGGCAGTGGAGTGAAGGCAGAAAAAAGACTCATAGAACCTGTGAATGAGTTTGGATTTTTTTTTCCCTAATAATAAAGGGAAACAAGTCATTGGCTTTGAATTGGAGAAGAGCTCCCCAGACCAGCACACTAACATCCACTTCCATTTATCCCTTTCAACCATAGTCCTAGGAAGGATCACCCAAATCTGTGTTCACGAAAATTAGCTCAATGATTAGATCGTTTCAACTCGTTTATAGTCTATCTGATCAAGATGTGGCCATCTAAAGGCATCCTTAGCAGTCATGTATTGAGGCTACCATTTGTTGACAACCTCCCTCCCCTCCTCTCTCCCCCTCCCCCCAAGTTAGGATACAACTTCTGCAGGTCACTTTAGGCTCTGGGGATGTATGTAGCTCTCTTGGAACTCCCATTCAAGTAGATTATGGCAGTCTATGCAGGAAACAAAAGATATGGAGAAAACTTAATTATTTTGGTCTTTATATTACTATTTATTCAGTACTGGCTGCTTGTCAGACATTGTTCTAGCTGCCATTATCTTTCTAATATTTTAATTTCCTAATAGAACACAATTCATGCACCAAATTAGGTTTCACAGACATTTTCTCAATTTATCTTCACAAATACCTTGAGTGGTAAGTTTTCTTTTCAATTCCATAGATGATCAGTGGAACAGAATTTAAGTAACATACTTGCATTCACACAGATAATGAGAGGCACAGCTTAAATTTGGACTCTACATTTTCTACTCTGTGTGATATCACTTTTGACACAGTTCAGCTCTTTAATTAAATTTTGGCTAGAGTATTAGGATGTCTCTTCAATTCCTGCTGCAGTGGAGAATATACCAAAGCATATTGTCAGCAAGTAGGTGACACTGAAATCCCAAGAATTCTTAGCATTAAAAATTAGATACGAAGCTGGGCACCAGTGGCTCACACCTATAATCCTAGCTACTCAGGAGGCTGAGATCTGAGGATCTCAGTTCAAAGCCAGTCCGGGCAGGGCTGGTGGTTTATCTCCAATAAACCACCAAAAAACTAGAAGTGGCGCTGTAGCTCGAGTGGTAGGGTGTTCGCCTTGAGCTGAAGAGCTGAGGGACAGTGCTCTGGCCCAGAGTTCAAACCCCACGACTGACAAAAAAAAAAAAATTACATACAGAGCATTTCTATTCCCCTCACTTTTTTGATTTTTTTTTGTGGTAGTTGTAGTAATGGGGTTTGAACTCAGGGCCTCACACTTGCTTGATTAATGCTCCATCACTTGAGCCACACCTCCAGCTTTGTTTTTTGTTGGTTATTTTGAAGATGGAGTCATGCAGACTTTTTGCCTGGGGTAACTTTAAACTGTGATCCTTTTGCTCTCAACCTTCTGGTGGCTAAGCCACCAGTGCTCAGCTAAATTTTATTTTGTAGTTGAAGGAATATTTGGTTATAGGAAAATAAATGAAAGTAGCACCTAAGTAGGAAAACTGTGTGTCACCACTCAGAAATCACTACTGTTGGCATTTTAACTATCCTTTTTTTTTTTTTTTTGTCAATCCTGGGGCTGAACTCTCTCTGGGCCTGGGCACTGTCCCTCAGCTCTTTAGCTCAAGGCAAGTGTTCTACCACTTGAGCCACAGAGCCACTTCTGGTTTTCTGGTGGTTAATTGGAAATAAGAGTCTCACAGACTTTCCTGCCCTGGCTGGCTTTGAACCTTGATCCTCAGATCTCAACCTCCTGAGTAGATAGGATTATAGGTGTGAGCCACTGGCACCCAGCTATTTCCAATTTTTTGAATATAGGTTTTGAAAATCAGATCGTGTCTGTTCTTCACCCTTTTCTGATAGAAATATCAAATGCAGATGTCTTAAGGAAAAATACTATAAATATAGATTGCTTTGATAATTATTATTAATTCATATATATATATGTATATATATTGCTTTTGTTGTGTTACTGAGGTTTTGGACTCAACGTCTCACACATAGGCTGGCACTCCTGGCCCTTTTGCTTTGGTTATTTTTGAGATGGGGTCTTGTGTTTTTTGCCCAGGACAGCCCATTGGTGATCTTTCTATTTATGTTTTCCTCCATAGCTAGGATAATAGGTGTGTACCTTTATGGCAAGTTTTTGTTGCTGTTGTTAATGTGGAGGGTCTTATACACTCTTTGTCTAGGCTAATCTCAAACTACAACTTTTCCAATATTCTCATTCTGAGTAGCTGGAATTACAGATATGAGCCACTGTTTCTAGTTGTGTGTTGTTTTTAGAGTATTTACAGAATATCACAGAAATTTACAGCTAACAAGAAGGTGAAATAATGAGGAATTGATGATCTACAGTGATTATATCATGTATCAAAAACTACTGGCTCATGCTTATAATCCTTGCTACTCAGGAGGCTGAGATCTGAGGATCTTGGTTTGAAGGCAGCTGGGCAGAAAAGTCCTGTTAGACTCTTGTCTCCAATTAACCACTTAAAAACTAATAGTGGAGCTTTGGATTGAAGTGGTAGAGAGCTACCCTTGAGCACAAATAGACTCAAGGACAGTGCCCAGGCCCTGAATTCAAGCTCTACAACTGACA